CTTACTCCCAATCTACTAGCTTCCATGCTAAATTGAATCAATTCACTTTGTAAGTAACAATCTACAACCATTGCTAGTTGTTTCAGAGAGACAATGGGCCTTTCCACCTAGCAGCTCTCTTCCTATGAAAACAGCTAATGCAATGAGAGCTGCTTACCACAAAGATGCACTTCCAGTTTTGGTCTACTGGATTTTCAAAAGCACATTTTATTATATTAGTTCAGTTTTAATAATGTCATTTGTTTTTGGAGATGAGAAAAAATGCAGTTGTCCAGCACAATATTTGAATAGTGTTGCACATATTGAGAACTGCGTCTTTATATACTTTTTATAGTACAGGAAAAGCAATTCAGAAATCCATTCCTCTCTCTCGTGTTTCAGGTTAGTTAAATATAACCCACATACCTAGACCTGGTCCAATTATTTGCTATGAATTCAATTCTTTTTCCTATTTGTAATGCTGATTTCTATAAATGCATGCCATATGCATAAGTATTTGTCTATGCAAATACCCTCTGAATTGTTCCCAGGATGTTCTCTTAAACCAGGGGTTGTCAACTGGAGGTACACATACCCCCGGGGTACTTGAGAAGGACCTAGGGGGTACGCACGGGCGGGGACGGAGTACTGCCATGCAACATCCCATGTAGGCACCGCCCAGCCAGAAGCTTGCACGTGGCGGCTCCCGCCGCTCCGCATTCAGCTATGCACCACCCCTCCCCGTCTCCGCTGCTCTGCGTCCAGCCACTGGGGGGTACACTGATCCAGAAATGTTGAAAACCCCCATCTTAAACTATTTCTAGTGTTTAATAGGTTGCCTTTTAATTGATCATATTCTCCAATCAAATGATTGAAAGCTGTTAAAAATCAGTATAATGAGCAAACAAAAGAGATGCATTTTAATGCAACTGTAGATGCACAGTCAGTCAAACTAAAATCCATCAAACTTGGTGATCTCTGAATGTTAAGTGTGTAAAAAATGAGTAGAAAATTGTCAAAAAAACCACATCACCATAAATAAAAGAGAACCCAGCTCACCACAGTCCTTGGTAGCACATACACATAGTGCCTTTGTGCATCATCTCTACTTCTGTGAGTTCTTTGCACTAGCCCATCCTCTCCCTCTTTTTGATCTCAAATGTATGCCTTATACATCTTGTATTCTGTATAGCAGGGGTGCTCAATCTCCAGCCCACAGGCCAAATTTGCACCACACTGCTATGTCATCTGGTCTATGGGACTCCCCACAGGTCTGGAAATTTGGTAGTGGGAAAATGGTGGCACCACTCCCCTGCTGCCAAAATTCTGGACCCATGGGGAGTCCCAAGCTCTGCACACTAGGACACAGAGCCGGGTAGGGGCAGTGCCAGGTTCCAGGAGCCAGTTCTGGTCTGGAGTTGGGAAGGGAGAGTACCAGGCCCCTAGGATCCAATCCTGGTGTGCAGGGGTAATGCCAGGCCCCCAGGATCCAATACCAGCATCCAGGGGGTAATGCCAGGCCCCCAGTATCCAATACCAGCATGCAGGGAGCAGGAAAGGATGGCACTGGCCCCTGGGACCCAATCCTGGCACATGGGGGGGTGGGGTGGGAGGGAGCAGTGCCATGCCCCTGCGATCCAAACCCAGCAGACAGAGGTGGTACTGGACAGGAGGTCTCCAGGACCCAAACCCAGCAAGCAACATGTGGAAGGGGGCAGGTGCTGGGCTCCAGGGCCCAATCCAGCCTCACAGACAGGCTCCATGCCACTCATCTGGCCCACAGGAAAAAAAAATTGAGCACCACTGCTGTACAGTATCCTCTCACACAAAACTAGTGGAGTAACAACAGTCCAATCTGAATTTATGCTTCCACACAGAGACTAACATCATTTCAGAATAATTATGTTAATAGGAATACAGATGCAAAGTTAACACATGGCTTCATAATCCATGGTTAGTAATAAAATGAAGCTTAATTCAATCCCTCAATATTCAACCAAATACTGTCCACGCTGAAAAAGATTACCAGATCCTACCATGTATTCATCACTCAAGGTAAGACCCAGTCTGATCTATCAGTTCTAAGGCACTAGCCTTGTGCAAAACTTTTCCAGTAACAGAGAAGGACAACTGAATTAACTCTACCATTCATATATATGGAGGGGGACCCATATATCTATCTATCTATATATATATAGATAGATAGAGATAGAGAGATGGATAGATAGATATATCTGTATATATATGCATGGGTGAGAAAGATATTGTTTAATTATTTTGAAGAGTGATTCTAAATATTCACGGGATTCCACAACATATTCCATTAACATGCCCTACAAGTAGAGTTGGTTAGAAAAAAAATAATTGATTTGAAGAATGGATTTGGAAATGCCTCTGCAATATTTCACAAGACCTGTAGTTTGGGTGTCTCATGACTCCATTGTTTTTCTTATGGGCCTGACTCCCTGTCTGGACTTTTATTTCCCACAATGCACAACTGTCTCTCCTCTTGCTGAACAATTCAGGTGGATCACCCAAGATACAGCTCCCATTCCAGCCATGGAATTTTTTTTTCCACCCCGCAAGAGGCCTTAGTTGTAAGCTTGGTAAAAGATGAAGTTTTTCAAGTAAAGTAGACAATTTTGCAAAAATGAGGCAAATCACAAATCCAGGTTTCCATGGGGAAAAGAAAAACTGAGGGAAAGATTCAACCACCAAAATCTTTCTCTGTGCTCTGAAAATAATCCTAAGGTAGACAAAAAAGAGACTCTTCAACAGAAGTTATGAACTACTCAGTATTATTAAGTCAGAGAATCTGGGCCTTGATTTTTTTGATCGGATGTAAAGCCAAAGAAAAGTAGCAATAGTTTTGGCATGGCATGGATTAACATATCCAGGACACCCATTGTATATAGAAGTGTCCCTGAGAACAGCCTAGGGAACATAATGCCAATGCTCTAGCACAGCAATATTCAATATTTTGGTGCAACAAGCTAGACCAGTAGCAGAGTAGGGGTGGGAGGGGAGCTATCCATGGGCCAGGATCAGGCCCTGCTCTGCCCCCACTCAGCCTGATGCCAGACTGATCCTGAGCACCATCACCCTTAGCTCTGTACCCCCAAATCAGGGTCCTGGACTGCCAGATCAGGGCCACATGCCACCTGCCTTGGCCCCACATGGCCAGATCAGGGTCCCATCTCCTTTAGCCCTCCCTCCCTCAGCCCCATACTGGCAAATTGGGTATCGCAGTACCAAATCAGGGCCTTGTGCCACCTCCCCTGGCCCTGCACCACAGGATCAGGGCCCCAGTCCCTGGCTGCCTCTGCTTAGCCCAACACTGCAGGATCAGGCCCCACACAACCCCTAGCCAGACTCTGTACCCAGAAAGGGCCCCAGACCACCTCTGCATGCTGACTTAGTATGCTATCTGGCCCATGGTGCTCCCCACGGGTCCCAAAATTTGGCAACAGAAAGGCAGCAGTTGCTGCCACAGCTCCCCCACCATCACATTTTCAGGCTCCCCAGGGACTGGACAGCATGGCTCAGCAGTCCAGATCTGGACTGCAGGCCAGGGGTTGAGCACCCCTACTCCAGCAGCTGGCCTGTTAAATGTCTACATAAAACAAAAAAGGTCTCTTATTAAAGTTAACTAAGTTAACTAAAAAGTTATCTGTGCACTGTGTTCAGCACTTCTGAGGGCTGAATGGATCCTGCTAAGACATGCATCAAAATGAATATGCTACAAGATGTATTATATTATATATAAAATAAATAATACATCTTGTAGCATATTCATTTTGATGCATGTCTTAGCATATATACACAGACATGTTATATACATGAGCCATCCTAGTGAAGACAGCTTCTACTACACTGACCTCTTCAAAATAAATCAAAATCCAGAAGTAAGCTGGAAATACAACTCTTGGAAAAGGAGTTCAAGAACAGCCAGAGGTCCTCCTGAGTCTAGCAGTTCATCAGACTAGCATGGTCAAGGCATGACAGTTTCAGTAGCCCAGAATACACAAGGGCTATAATGTTATAGCATTATAGCAGGTAACCTTTGACTCTGCAGCCCAAATGATCAAGTGCCTGTGTACAGCTGTGTCACAGGGGAATGGTCTTTGGCAAAAGTCTGGAGAGCATCTTTAATTCATGCCTCTGGAATCACAGTAAGAAGCCTCGCTGAAAAAGCAGATAGCTATATTAAATGATAGAACCACACTGGGAGACCTGGACAATGAAATACCAACAGCAGAACATCTGAGTTGCTGAGCATTGAAGGGGAAGGAGGGGGTGCTGAGAGCAGGCAGTGGGAAGGGAGGAATTCTTCTGAATTGGGGATTTCAAAAAAGTCCCCGGTTGCTGCTCTCACAGCGTGGTCTGAAAGTGGGTGCGACTGCACCACTGTACTCCTGGATCTGCCCCTGCACCTCTCCCATTAGCCAGAAAAGGTTATGTCTTCCCACTTTTGGAAAGCTGGAAAGGTCCATCTTACTCTGCACTGTTGCAGTTCTGCTGCTTAATAAACCCACCTTCAGAGTGGGAAACAGTACGTGACTGGAGCACATGGCTGTTATTTTAAACTGCCTGATTTGGTGAATCTGCTTCCTGGTCTTCCAAGAAAGAGTAAAATGCTGTATATGGCTTATATACCTCATCAGCTCCAATGCTTTGGCTTCTTCCACTTGTATCATTCAGGCAAGACAAAAAAAATTGAATGCTTGTGGACTGTTTTGATAAATGTGCCTCTTCTCTGCTCACACAGCACCACCTCCATAGCTTAACAAATGGAACAGATGGTCCAGTTAAAAGCCAACTTCTCAGAAGTTAGATGGTTCATTTTCAAAGCAACAGAGAGTGCGTCTTAGAGCAACTAGGAAAGATTCAGTGTATCAGAAGAACATGTATATAATACCTGCTATTGCTTGCAGATGCTAGTCATATCAGTAGCAGCTTTTTGGAGAGGAAAAAAAAGCTCATTAGGGACAAGGAATGGAGCAGAGGGAAAAAGAACTTACTTGATTTTACTGAAGACAATGTCAACATCTGTGATCGTCACATTCTTCCCATCTATCACATGACAGTCCTTACATAACTTGGACCAGTTCTTCCCATGCATTTCTTTTCCTGTGGCTCTGGTATCTCCATGGATGGCAAATTTTCTAAAAGCCTCTTCAAGGGCACTGAGCTCTCCTGCCACGGCCCCCTCATGGGAACTGTTGGACTCGCAGGATAGCCGTTTAGCTGCCTTCTCCTTTGTTGGATCTGCTGGAGACTTTGGAGGAGTCTTATTTGCAGATTTAGCGGACTTTGTTTTGCTGTCAGCCATTGTGCTGCAAAGAGGAGGGGTCGGGGGAAAAAAGCAGCCAACAATCAGTAAATTTCTTGCTAATTAATTTGTATGGCTTTCCCTTTATTAGGATGCCCTTGAGAACTATACATTCCCCTGTTCATGTCAGAGTCTCTGGAGGCCACTTAGGTATGCAATTAGCAGTAACTTTGTACACCTCCTTTTTGGATTTTCCCTAACAGTCCAAAGGCACAAATATATCCACAAAAATATTGTATGGCCTGGTTTCATAAAAAGGTTGCAAAACCATCCACATCTAAAAAAATCCTCCAGTATACAGAGCCAGAGGACAAAAATGAGAATTCTAAAAAAGTCAAGAAAACTTACCTCTTCCATCACTATAGCAGCTGATGCAATGGTACTCAACAACCCTTGTTTTCTACAGAAAGCTACACTGAGCACGATTGTGGTCTCAGTCATTGGTGTAACCCCACTGTTTTAGAAGCTTAGAAGCTTTATCTCCAGGACTATTGTAATAAAATATATTTCTGTAATGGAAATGAATCCATTTCTGGGGTATATTAGTGGTCACAAGGGCTAACAAATATAGAATCCTCAAACTTCTTGGACATTGCCCTTCTGTTAGCAAAACTAGTAGCTAGAAATCTGAGAACTGATCTGCCCAAGCATTTTGAAGTGAAGGCCTGCAGGAAGCAGCAGTGATAAAAAGCATGCCCCTGTTCCAGAAGACAGCATTCAAATTTGGTTTCATCTAGCCTATTTATTCTCCGTAGACTTCTCCTGAAGTGCCTGTCCATTGCAAAGTATTGTGGAGAAAGTAAGCCTTATGTTACTTCACTTAATATGTGTTTTCAGTCGCTAAACACAGAGCACCAAGAAAAGAGGTACAACTTCATAGACCTGAAAGACTAATCTACCTGAGACACTCATCAGTGATAATGCAGAGAAAGACATACCACTCCAACCTAACTCACCTCTCTCTACATATGGACTGAAAGACACTTTCTATTTATCCTGTCTGCCCTTCTGAAATGGTAAAAAGATCTCCACTTTTAACTCTAGTTTAGTTGCACTTATATCACATCGTCTGTGTGGCTAGCAAATGTACAAAATGCAATATATACCCAATGAGAGTTTAATTACATGGAAGGCCTGTCTTGGTTGCCTCCAGTACACACATATAACAGCAACAAATGTGACGAAAAGAACTCTTAGCTTCTATCTGCCCCTAGTTTTCCCACAGGCTAATTGCCAATTGTCTGATGTAAAGCTAAGGAACCAAAATGTACCCTTACACCCCATCCTATGTTCTTTTCCTGCTCAGTCCAGGTCTTGTGCCCCATAGTAGCAGTTGAGCATCTACTACTCACTGTGTAACATGTGCCAATAAGCTTACGGCTTTTCCAAATTAAAGCCTGGATCCCAAGGACATGGTTATACCCTGTCCTGATACTCACAATATATACAGCAGAGATCTTGCATGGCTACCAGTTGTAATAACACG